ATATATATATATATATATATATATATATATATATATATAGGATATATCTATATATATGAGTGTTGTATATATTATTTCTGTAAGAAAATGGTAAACACATTTTTTTTGCTTATAAGAAAAAAATGGAGCATAACAAAATGAGCACTCAAAAGCCTCTTACATGGTTTACTGAGCTTTCACACAAGCCAGTCATAGAGACCTTACTTCAATGTCCTAAAAAGATGAGATATCCACATCTGAGCTTAAGTGAATCCCAGGTAGGCACTGTTTCTCTCTTACATCATTCTTATGAGCTATGCCTCTCCTCACCCTAAAATACAAAATTGCTGGTCTGTGGGAAAAGAGACAGGCCTTCAGAGATGTTCTAAGTGCATAATCCTGAGGAAGGTTTACTCTCATCACTAAGTTCTTTCTGGTTTTTATCATTAAGATGAAATAGCTTGTTGGATGCACAATCAACCCTTGGCACAGTGTCCTGATTCTCAGAATGCACCAGGGTACTCAGAACATGGCCTTTCTCCAAAGAGTCTAAACACAAGCTGAAGCTTAACCTCTCCCATAACCACAAATCCCTGAAGTTTGACACATGAATTTCACCAACCACTATCAGTTCTAAGAGTAAAGAATGACTCAGAGAAACCAAAAGCATAACATTGCCCTTTTGCCTCAATCAGACACTGTCTTACCTGAGGTCTTTATATACACTTTTAACACAAAATGTATTACCAGATGTTTTGTGCTTTAATAAAAGGTAGAGATTGATCAACTACAGTAAGTGGAGAATTATACATGCAACATTTACCTCATCTGGAAGGGAATAAATGGTGATATTTTTTGAAAATTCCTTATCTCCAAAGAAAATTGTCCCTTGCACAGGAATTACGTCTTGTGTAAAGTCTGGACTAACCACCCATGAAACACTAACATCACCAAAGTTTCCTCGATGTCTTATTACGCCATAAACAGCTGTGAAATACAAACAGGTAAACTACATAAGAACATTCACTAAACATTAAAACTAGTAAAGAAATCGTTCAAATAAAGTAAAAATAATACTTTGTTATAATAAAATCTAATTTAATAAAAACCAATTTGCTTAGCATATCCCCCAAGGTTCACATAAAAATATATTATCCTATTTCCTCTCTATAGATATAAAATTAATAAAATTACAAGACTCAATATTTTCCATCATAGTATGGGATCTTAAGAGTCATTTGGCATGGAGACAGATGGTGATTAATTAAATACAACTATCATAAAGTCCTGTAAGAATATCTGCCAAAGGCATTCAAAGGAAGTCTGACCTACCTACTCAGAGTGATTTCCCTGCCCTGACAAGATTTCTTTAAAAACAATATCTTTCTCAATGAATGCAGTGGTGCACACCTGTAATCTCAGTGACTCGGGAGGCTGATGCAGGAGGATAGCAAGTTCAAGACCAGCCTCAGCAACTCAGCAAGACCTTGTCTCAAAATGTAAAACTAGCTGGGTGTACTGGGGTTGTAGCTTAGTGGTACAGGACTTACCTAGAATGTATGAGGAACTGGTTTAAAAATAAATAGACAGATAGATGGAATATTTCTTAATTCTTGCCACTGCAATATTTTCCAGCAGTAACTCCTAGCTTAATGTGTTCTCTATTGACTCATGCCTGGGTGTTTGAGGGCTCTGCATATGGTTAATCGAAATAAAAATATAACTGATGTATCATCACAATACTAAGGCAGACATAAAAACTGCAATCCTAAATATTATTTTTTAAAGGACCAATTTCTATTCTATGTATAATTTCTAAAGCAGAATGAGCAATTGAAAATAATGGGTTACTGAAGAAATAAACTAAAAAATGATTAATTTCTTCTTCCATAAATAGAAACAAAATATAAGAAACAGGAAAAATTACCACTGTAGATATTATCTGCTTTGCTTTCATTTATTGTCTCAATTAGACCATCAGAAACAAACTCTATAATCCCATGAGGATCATCATTTTTTAGAATCGTTATGTTGACAATGGAAGCACTTCCCAACTTGCTTTCCCTTTCACCGTGGCTGCTGAGGACCACCCAGTAGTGCTCATCCAACTAAATGGAACATGTCAAATTAGTAAAAATGTAAAGTTGACATTTCAGAGCAAATAAAATATGTGTATATTCAAGAATATTAATATATTCACATTTTAAGATACATACAACTCACTGAAAAGACAAGAGAGCTGGTTTTACTCCTAAAACATTTTTAGCATGTTCTCCTATCAGTTAAGAGATACCAGATATACATATATATTATCCAAAAAGGGAAAAGATGAACAACAATCTATTCTAAATGGTAAGAAGTCAGGGACTTGTCACCGATGATCTAGTAGTCAAACTAATAAGAGTAACAAATATAAAATCTACATATGCATTAGTGTGTAAACATTAGGGAACAATATCTGGTTTCACTAATACAAAAGTTAATTTTTTTTCCTTTAAAAAAGTGATTATATAGCAAACTTTCAATTCAAAACCATATCATTAAAAGTTCAGTTAATATGAATCACATAAAATAAGGTTTAACATGAATAAAGCTAAAAGGAGATAAAAATGAATCACACACTGAAAATCTCAGAATGTTTGGTATTTCTCTTTCAAGGACAAAAATACATTATTCTAATTTGAATGAATCTTACTTTGCTTTTTGAGATTGTTTTTTGAATTTTCCAAACATAAGTATTTTTCATCCCTTCCTACATCTTCTTGACAACCTTTAAAATATTTGTGCTCATAACATGATAGATACAATCAATCTTCCACAAAAGCACAAGGGAAAAATAAAACTCTTACCTCTGGTATGCCATCCAGTCTTGAGAGCAAGGTGATTACTATTTCTCTTTCCCCAGGTTTAAATTCAAGAACACCTGTGTTTCCATAGAATTCACTGCTGTCTCTGGGCTCTACTCGGTAATGTAGAAATTGTTTGACGAGAGCCCCCTTGGATCGAATAATGTGGAGCTCTACAGAATCTCCTTCCTTTAAAAAGAATCCACAAAATTTTAAATCCTTCTAGATCATTCTTCTTAAGTTGTGAGTACAGAATAAAGTTTTATACTTACTTTTATAACATAGGGTCCTCTGGAAGCAGGAGAAAATTCAAAAACTCCCCCAGGATCATCATTTTCCAAAATAACTAGGTCGCGGGTAGTATATCCAGATTTCAACACTTGATTTTCCACATTTACCCTGGAGAAGGTGGAGGAAAAAACACACTTGTTATCTTTAGTCCACTTCTGAATTTGGTAGACTTCAAAGGCAATATTTACAACTCTTCCAGATAATAATAAGAAAGGTAATTAGGAATTAAATCTCAAAGCAAATTTATACATATTAAAATCAATTAAAACCAAAACAGTCACATCACTTATGGAAGAACTATTTTAAATTCACTGTATCTTTTCTTTTATACTGAAACAAACATGGAATATGTACCCCAAGAATAGAGTAACAAAGAGTTATAAATGTATTTATAGAAAATATAAAAATTCACAGATTTTATTCCAGTTTTAGAAAAAAAAATTATTTGCAACATGTGATTAGGAAATACATTTAAACAAAACTTTTTATTTTACGTACACTTTAATTTCTTCTAAAATTTCATTACATATGATTATATTATGTACACAGACTATGGCAAGCCACACTGATTTTTTTTTAAAAAATGAATGTAATATGATTATACTTTTAGGGATAGTTTTGTGGCTTTCAAATTTTTTTCTTTTAAAGAAAGAAGAAAATGGATCTGAGAAGCATGACATGTTATAACAATTCTTATATATTTATCAAAAGAACATATTAAATGTTATTTTAAATTTCAGGTTTTATGCTTAGTGTGTAATTAGAATGATCAAAGAGACTACAAGGCTCTGAGGGCGTAAAACCAGCAAGGTCTTAAGAATTCTCAATCCCAAAGCTGCTCTAAATTTTTCCAAATGTCACTTCCTATTGAAATAGAAAGTATTTGTGATAAGATCTCAGAATCACAATGAAACCACAATTTAATATGTAGTAATATGTGTCAAGAACAGTTCACTCTAAGAACAGACAACATGAACTGATATCTTCTCTTGCTTTTGAAATCTGACAACTGATACCTAGCATGCATGTGTTAACAGAAGAGATAATTCAAATAATACAACAATTATTTATTATATTGTTAATAGAGTAACATAATTTTCAGAGCCAATTTGCCCATATTTAATTTATATCAATATCTTCACTAATCAAAATTTCCTGTGTCCACATAAGCTAGGAGACAAGAAAAGTGGATTAAAATACAAAGTATAAAAGTCTACTCAGAACCAGGCTGAGGAGAATCAAAAGTTCAAGGCCAGCCTCAGCAACTTAGTGAGACCCTAAGCAACTGATTTTTTGAGACTCTATCTCAAAATTTAAAAAAAAAAAAATTCCTCTGAACATAAAACAAATGAATTTATTTTATTTTTTAAATGTTCTTAAGATATGCTTCCCTTACATAAAATGCAAATTTGAAAACCTCTATATAAAACACAGAGAAAAAACAAGAAATTGCTTAGATACGCTAAGAAAAATAATGGATGAGTTAAAATAATGGGTTACCAATTCTCTGTAAAACAAACTTTAAGATTCATAAAAGATGTTGGGAAAAAAATTTCACTAGTAAAAGCATAATAATTGTTCTCTAGGTTATGAAAACTTAAAATTGTGAGTTCTTCAAAATGTGATAAATTACCACATAATTTAAAATCCTCTGAAGTAAAATGGCATAATAAAATTGTTTCTCAAAGATTTTATCAAAAATTTTAAATGCATTCATAATTTGAAACTATTGGGATGAAAACATCCCAAAAGTTTCACATAACAGTCTCCTGTTATCATTAGAAAATGAAACTACACACAAATCATGCACAGCCAGGTGGATAAGCACAATTTCTCAAGACTTGTGATCATGCAGTGCAGCCTCATCACCAAACAGTCAGTTGCAAAATAAAATGGTGAATCACCAAAAACAAGGCATTATTTTGTACACTTACCCAAAATACACGACAAATCTTTCAGTTTCTACCCTGTCAATACAGAAAGAACTGTGGGCGGGGGTAAAAGGAGGCAGAGGCACTATTTGCCACATTTCACTGATACTGCTAGAAACTTAGAATGGCAGAGTGAAAAAAAAGCTGAAAGAAAGCCCCTTTCTTTTCCCCAAGAGCTACTAATTTTCATTTTATGGAAATGGTGCACACTGGGTCCTATCCATTGAGAAATGCCAGCAAGAGGTTCTGCAGTTCCCGCCTATGGAAGATGACCCGTGGCCAGCCAGCATGTCAAGATCCATTCAAGACATTCCTTCCCACCTCTCCAGGGTGCTTGTGCCTGCCAAGCTCTGCACATGCTCAAACCACAGCAGCTGAGCAAATCTCATTCAGTCTACTTACAATTACTTAGTAGCTTTAATTATGTTTTTTAAAGAAACTCCATCCTCAGATGTAATGCCAGTTCTTCGAGTTAGAGAAGTCACAACTCTATAAGCAATCTCTATGTTTCCCTGTTTGCACAGGAATATATTCAAGAAGCCCTAAGATATCATGATAACTTTTCATTACAACTTTATATCAGGAAATCTAAGCACTTTCAAATCCTCAATGTATTTCATTTTAAAATAGTCTTGAAAAGCACACGTTAAAAAGTAAAGGCTTTGAGCTGAATTTTTAAAGTCAAATGCACCACTGATAAATTACCACATAATTTAAAATCCTCTGAAGTAAAACAGCATAATAAAATTGTTTCTGATTTGGAGAAAATTAAGAGTATTTTTAACTAACTGGTATTGGAAGTAACATAAATTGTTTAGTATCAGGGCAACTTCAGTCTACATTTAATTGAAATACAAAGAATTTGAATTTGACATTAAGAGAATATTTTACACTGTATTATAATAAAGTGTTATTATTTTTGTTGCAGTATTATCCTATGACTCACTATAATCACACTAGCATTCATTCATTCATTCATTTTTGTTAAACATGCAAAATTAAAAGGTTTTGATAAAATAAGCACTTTGAAATCATGAATTTTATTCTCAAATTTATTTAAATATTTTTTAAACAGTTAAATATAATTTGCTTATTCTTATCCACACACTAGTAACTAATTGAATCAAGACATTTTAACATATATTTTGATTAATTTTCTCTATTTGAAAAGAACCAACAATTTCTAATATTTTCTACCCTATGATTTTCACTTCCTTGTATTCTATTTTTACCCATAGAAGGGAGAAAAAGAAGCAAAAAAAAAAAAAAAAAAAAAAAACTTCAAAGTTATATTTAATGAATTTCAAATGTTTAAATAAATGACCAAACATTACTATTTTGAAAGAATATAAAGAATAGTCACTATGAATTTTCAGAGTTATAATTTAAATCATTCTTTAAATACTTAATTGAGAGCAGGAATTCTCAAACAAGCTAACAAAGTTTCCTAGATTGCTATGACTTTGGTTTGTAATCACTGTTCTTTTTTCATTAGTTTCTTCAACATTGTCCACAGATTTAACACATGCTTAAACCTAATTTATAGAAAAAGGGAGATACATGAACAAAGTCCTATATTTTCTCATATTTCACTGACTTTTTTCCATCATGAAATACCTTTTAAGACTTAATCTAAATATATATATATATATATATATATATATATATATATATATATATTTATATATATGTATAAAGACTGTTTTAGACAGTATCAGTATATATGTGTGTGTTCACTTAAAATCAGTGTGTATGTGTGTATTATGGTTTATATGTGACATGTCCCCCAAAACCTCACATGTGAAACAATGCAAGAAGGTTTGGAGGAGACATGATTGGGTTATAGCCTTAACATAATCAATGAATTAATCCCTGATGGGATTAACTGAGTAGTAACTAGAGGCAGGTAGGGTGTGGCTGGAGGAAGAAATTCATTGGGGGCATGGCTATGGGGTATATATTTTAAATATGGAGAGTGAACTCTCTCTCTGCTTGCTGATCATCATGTGAGCCACTTTCCTCCACTACACTCTTCTGACATGAGGTTCTGCTTCACCTTGAGCCCCGAGGAATGGAGCCTGCTGTCTCTGAATTGAGACCTCAGAAACTGTGAGCCTCCTATTAAACTTTTCCTCCTCTAAAGTTGTTCTGTTTGGATCTTTTAGTCATAGCAGTGAAAAAGCTGGCTAAAACAGTGTGTGTGTGTGTGTGTGTGTGTGTGTGTGTGTGTTTGGGTTTTGCTTTCTCGGTTTTTTTGTTGTTTTACTTTTTGTGGTTCTGAAAGCAAACAAAATGAACGGTGGCCATTTAACAGATTTGTTTTTCTTTCACAAAAAACTTTTAAAAATACTCATCAGGTATGTAAAATGTGTTTAGACAAAACATCTTCAAAGAAAAATCTACATGGTCTTGATAATAAAATAGAAAAAAATCAAAGGATTATGTGAAGTAGTTTTTTACTTCTTTATTCCTGAAGAATATCATATAAAATGTCTCAAATTTACCTATGAATTTTAGTGTTTCTAAATACGAATTGTACAATGTCCTCAAGTCACAGTAACTTTCTATAATCTGTATCTCATTGATATAAAGAGACTTATAGAAGATAAACTTAGTTTTGATCCTTACAAATCATTAACATCAATTAAACACTGTATCTTTTCAATTTTAGAAAAGATTTTCTAAATAACTGAAAGAAAAATTCTTAGATTTTTGTAATATTTTCTTAATATAAAGTGCCCCCTGATAAATGCTAAGTAACTTATGATAATGACTGGAAAATTACTTCTTAAATTTGTGTAATTTTTAATTCTCTAGAAAATAAGTCTTAACTTTTAAATTCCATGTAAAAAAGAATGAAGATTAATGTTTTCTTTTACTCACTCAAAAAAGCTATACCCCTCTTCCCTGTTGGAAAGGAAGCCACCAGAGTTATCTGCTTAACCTAACATTTTAGAGATGTTGTAGTCTATTCTTTTCTTTTTTTAAATATAGCAATATATTGGCTTCACTTCAAATTTCATATACTACTTCCCAGACATTCTCTACATAATTCTTCCTCACAACAAATAGCAGGGTAAAAGTTCACTAAAATATATTATATCCATAGTCTAACCAGAAGCTATAAAAAAGTAACAGACTAAAGGCCAACATAATGGAATTCACTTGATTTTTTTTTTTTAACTTCATGAAGAGAAAAAAATTACCTCAATGGGTTATTACCTGTCTAGAGAAAGTGTTACAGTTTCATTCATTTCCGGTATGTCATCACCCTTGACAGTAATGTTGATTGTTGTGTCACTTTGCCCAGATAAAAATACAACAGAACCATTAAAGGGACCTATATCATCCATGGTCACTGCTTCTGAATTAAAGCCAGAGGGCTTCAGACTCCAATAGATGGTGGCCTGGCCATCAGTTCCATCCCGATGCAAGGGAATGTATACCTTATTTAGGAAAAAAACAAAACAACAATTTCCGCTACAATATATGCTCACAAATAAAATCAAGTCTGCAGATGCATGTATTATTAGGTGAATGTGTATTAAGTGACATTAAAAATAATTGAAGAAGTCTTCTCTTTAAACATGATAATAATTTGGGGGGATTTTCTTCAATTTTACTAATCAAATTTATCTGGAAAATTGCCCCTGTCCAAAAATGTATCTGACCTGGTATTTATTTAAATGAAAAGACAAATATTTTAAAAGCTGAAGAATCATGACAAACATAGAACAGTCTTGCTGAAGAATAAATTTTCATCCGAGCTTTTATGAATATCAAAATATAAACTGAAAAATAAACTTTTGTGATTAAAACAAGGAAATTTACTTGGGCACAGTGGCACACACCTGTAATCCCAGTGGCTCCCAAAACTTAGGCAGGAGGATCATGAGTTCAAAGCCAGCCTCAGCAACTTAGCAAGGCCCTAAGCAACCCTGTCTCTAAATAAAATATAAAAAGGGCTAGGGATTGGCTCAGTGCTTAAGCATCCCTGCATTTAATTCCTGATACAAAAAAAAAAAAAAACCTCTGGGAAATTATGTTGTGTAAAATGTATCTTAAAGTAATAGGGAACAAAATAAAATGTTTCTAACCAATACAATAAATACCATAAAAATACCACGACTCATGGTTATTTGGGGCAAGGTTTCTGATCTTGATTTCGTCATTTTAAATGAAGCTAATGAGTCCTCAATTTTGCAAGCTTTTGGTAAAGCTGAGAGATCATTTAAGCAATCTAGAACACTAGTAGAAGCTAAATAATTGAATGCTATTATAATAATTCTGAAACAATTTCTATTTTGTTCAAATGCAATACATTTTAAACATATAAGATTCACTACAGATCATGATGAAGCCTTTTCAAAGAATTAATACTCCATGGTAACTATGCTATTCATTTTACACTCCTAGGAGAGCTATTTCAGTTTTTTCTTGCCTTTTAATATATCTCATCTTAGGAGGAAAAAAAAAATACCTTCACCACTAACCATTCTACTATTTTGACTAGGAATGGTCAAAACCCAAAGCTAGTGAGCACAGCTAGGTTCTGAGGAAAGCAAAAAAGGTACCAGGGCTGGCTCCTGTATCACCTGAGGGAGTGAGTATTGCTGGGGTTGTATACAGGGCACAGCAAAAGGGAAACTGCTACTTCTGCTGTTTCCTAAGAGGGTAAGAATGCAGTTCCCAGAGCCCAAAACTGACTTCTCTCAGTGAAAAAATGTTGAAATGGGAAGTTTATAGCTTTATAAAATAAACAAACAAAAGCAATTCCACTCTTTAAGAATAAACTAAATGCTTTTTACTTTTTAGAAGTAAACAGTATGTTTTTAAAATATGGAAAATCAAACCATCTTGAAAACTGAAGCTCTCTGCCCACTTAGAGCATCTAATGTATAAACAAAGGAAATGTTACCACATTTTGACATGAGATTTTGATAACAAAAACAACTTTCCTCATTCCTGATCTTAACCTTAACCCAATTAAAATCAAATTTAAGTGTGTGTGTGTGTGGGTGTGGGGGGGGGGGGTTAGGATCTTAGACAGATAGTAGCTCTGGGAATGGCAGCACAGGACAGAGCTGCCCTGAGATTGCTGGAGGCTTGAAAAAATTCATCTAGGGATGGTGAAGAGGTGCTCTGTATGTGAATATGCTTGTGTGTGTGTGTGTGTGTGTGTGTGTGTGTGTGTGTGTGTGAAAATTTACATATACACATAGAATTAAAAATCCCTAAGTTTCAGATTTCACAACTTTGCCATCATCATCTCCAGTATCAAACATAGGACCCAAGGCTGCCACTTCAGCCTTTCCCAAGGCGAGCAAGTGGCATGCTCAGAGATGGAAAAGGGCAACTTGGCCATTAAAAAGCAGATTTACACTCAGCTATGATTACATCAAATATCATGGCTCTATCTGAAAGCAATCAAATCTAAATATACTAGTCTAACCAGGAGCAAATAATTCCAGTTGATGAAAAATCACACAATATCAGTTACTTATGTAACTTATCAGTTACTTATGTCAAGTTGTCTATCAAAGGAATGAAGATCTATTTCATTTTCAAGATCTATTAACTCAATATGCTAACAATAATTTTAAAAAAATATTCTGTAAATTACCTCAAACACATTAGACCCCCACCAATAAGAAAGAGCCCACTTACCACCTCAGCAGCAGAATCTTCTGGTTCATGCAAAATGATTGGAAAATTACTAATGAAGCCAATTTCTCCATTAGCAATGGCTGGAGTAACCAGTAAAGAAATATTTCGGATTTCCCCAAATCTGGGACTTATAGGTGGGATTGGGGGTTGTATGTTCATCAACATCACACTCTCCAACTAAAATAAACAAAAACAATAAGAGCATATAAGATAGAAACTTTCAAAATTAAGAAAGACCGTTAATAGTAGTGGGTAATAAAGTACAAAGGGGTGAAGATCACCAAACACCAGGGAACTTCATTCTCTTCCTTCTATCCCTTTTCAATCAATCTCCTGCACTGGCTGCTTGAGATTTTTCTATCCCCCTGTTATTAATATTTACAGGGTTCTTCCTAAACCCTTTATCTTATAATTTCATGCAATCTCATGAATAATCTTTGGACCTTTCCCTCAAACTCCAAATCATTATAACCACTTGCTGCTAGGTATCACAGTCATGCACACAACTTTATAGAATGTCCAAATAGAAATCACTACCTCTGTTCCATGGTCCCTCACCACTTCCATCACCAGCAACCCCATCTGCTTTTCCTCATCATCATCCATATCCAACTACCTTGACTTTTAAAGCCAAATGCCAGATAACTGTCCACATCTCCTGCCTCTGTTCCACTGACCCACACTTCCAGTCACCCACTTCCCTTCTCTGGAAAACCAAATCCAGTATCAGAATATGATTTGTAACTCCAATTGTAACTTGATGTGTGTGTGTCTTTATGTGTAAATAATATAATGCATGTATAAAATACAATTTCCCTGTAATTAATGAAGATGTCACGAGAGTAACTTTCCTCCATGTTCTCCTCATCTAGAATGCCCTCCCTTCCTCATCTCACATATTTAAGAAGCACTCACTCTTAAAATTCATCTGAATTTTCCTCCCCTTCCTAGATTCTCCAGTCCTCTTCATGCTTCATCTTCCTGAAGTTCTACTGTTGCCCTCAGTAAGCTTAGAACTTAATTACAAACATGCTGCTTCTTTATTGTCATCATTTTCTGTGCTCCAGGCTTTTTACTTCCTAACACACCTGTAGAACTCTCTGAGGGTCTGTATACTTCCCAGCATTTTCCTCAATACATGACATAGACCCAGAACCACAGTACTTGCACAGTAGATTTTTATTTAATTCATCCCTCCACCAAACTGAGCTCTGTTGGAATACTAATAGATAACAAACTTCAACACCTTACACATTATGTTTTTTTCAAAATACAACTTATCGATACACACAGTGTTCACTTGAGGGGCACAGGAATATAGAACCATTACAGACTACAAAAGCCATATGGATTTTAAGTTAAAATGCAATTTTAAGTTTAACAAAACATCATATATCTCCCACTCTGTAGAGTCCTTTGTCAGGCTTTGTAATGTTGAAATAATGCCACTAAGTAACCACCAATAGAAATTTGTGATTTAAGTTGATTTCCACAGTGGACAGGAGTGGTACTGATTTCCAACATACTTTCACACTTTTTGATCAATAATTTTAAAGGGCAAAGCAAATGTCTTTTTTAAAATCTCTCACATTTGCTTTGAAAATCATATATAGAGAAAGACATGAAAAATTCCATTTTTTTTTTTTGGTAAGTATTCATTTGAGTAAAAGAAAAAAGAAGGTAGACTGACCAACTTTGTCAAGTGTTACTAGGCAGACTAATCCAAATAAAATGATTCTTGGAATGTTGCTTTTACTTTGCAAAATAAATAAATGCAAAGGTAAATATGTAGTTGAAACCTCACAACTGACATTCTTTCTGGAGAAATTTTATGTGTGTGTGTGTGTGTGTGTATGTATATGTAGATATGTATATGTGTGTGTATATATATATATATATATATATATATATATATACACTTTGATGTTGGTGAACAAAGAAATAACAACAGAAGTTTACTAAATGAACTGAACAAAAGGAAATGTTAAAATTCATCCATTCCTCCCATACTTCCCCTCCCTACCCCACCATGAGTCAGCCTCCTTATATCAGAGAAAACATTCGGCATTTGTTTTTGGGGGGATTGGCTAACTTCACTTAGCATTATCTTCTCCAACACCATCCATTTACCTGAAAATGCCATGATTTTATTCTCTTTTATTGCTAAGTAAAATTGCATTGTGTATATATGCCACATTCTTGATACGGCAGAGGGGTGGAGGGAAAAGGAAGGGGGCAGGGGATTGGCAAGGATGGTGGAATGTGATAGACATTATTATTCAAAGTACATATACTTTGTATACAACCAGAGATATGAAAAATTGTGCAGTTTAAGTATAATAAAAATTGTAATGAATTCCACTGTCATTTATTTTTAAAAAAATCAAAAAAAAAAAAAAAAGGAAATGCTAATTTTGAAATGGTACGTCAGCATGGCTTATTTCCTAGTCTATAAACCTTTTTTGTCTGGGTTCCCTAAGCATCTGCTAAATCAAAAATTGCTCTATTCATTCATAAAAGTTCTTTGCTTTCAGATGGTTTGGTATTAGGACAGCACAATAGTGTCCCCACTTCTGCCAAGAGTTGCATCTCAGACTAATGTGTTTGGCTGAGAGTAATTAGAGGAGGCTGAGTGCATGTCTCACTCTCCTTGCTTCAGTTCCCTCAGTTTTCCACCCAGTCTAATGCTTTCTACCCTGGAGTTGCTTGTGTGCGATGCAAACTACACAACCTTCTTACTCCAACTGGCTTTCCAGAGCCAACAACCGTGCTAACCTCAAGGAATTGTGTCAGTGACTAATGTTGCCTTTTTCCCCCTAAACAAGCGTTCCATTAACTGTCTGCACTGCAAGGCTTTGTTTTTTGACTGAATAGAGAGATACATAAAAAGAGAGTCTGGAATCAATGGTGCAAACAATTTTCTGATTCAAGATCATCAAAAATCAGATTTTACATCCTTCTTCAAGTTTTTTCTCAGTTTTCAAGTGTCCTCAAAAATAAATTCTGTCTGGGGAAAGGTCTGCAGCAATGACTTGGGGTTCAGTCACTAAGCATAGCAGATATAATTTCCTAAGCATCTGCACACTGTATAACACACACACACTCCAAAAGCCATCTCATTCAAAAGGAGTGTATTCTAGTTGACAGAAAGCAATCTCAACCCTCATTACTGACTCTTTTACATTGAACTTTCCAAAACTCAACAATGATTAACCCACTTAGTCATGAAGTGGAACTAGGCATTCTCTGGAGGGAGACATACCAGAGTCTAAATTCTTACTCTGCCATTTACTGCATCAAGATCTTAGGTAATAGAACTAAACTGCTCAGGTTAAACTTCTTCTTCTGTAAAAAGAAGGTAATTTATGTTAGTTCTGTGGGTTAAATGAAATAACATCAACACCCTCAAAATGTACATTTCCTTTTCATTCCTTTCTCTGTCCCAGATCTCAAGTACACTGTTGTCTGTGGTCTCCTGCAGTGTATTTAAGGCTTTAGAGTGTACATAAACCTCCTGGCAACCTTGCTAAGATGCAGATTTTAGTTCTGCAGGTCAGAGAATCTATCTTTCTAAAAAGCTCCTAGGTATTGATAAGACTGCTGATTCTCAGTTCACATCATGAGTGGCAACACCTGTAGTATAAATTCATGCCCTTTAGTATCCAATTATCAACTACCTGACTTGTCATCCTGAGATGGGCTTTTATTTTGTCCCAGCTCCAAACCTATCTGAGAATACTAGGGGACTGTTAACTGGTCCTGATTCCCACATGGTGCTCACATGTCAACTTTACCAGATATCTGTTTCCTATCTCCTTCCTTCAGTACTGTTTCACCCTAACAATGGAGACACGCATCTCTATTAATTCCCCAGTGGACAGTTAAGGGCATGGTTTGGACAACAAGAGCAGGAAACTACAATGCAGACAATATGACTGGATCCTAAACAAGATTCTTGACTCTCTACCATGTGGATCTTCTCTTCTCTGGCTCTTAGCTTTGGTTTGCCTCAATGTTTCAAGAGCCAACTGCATTTCTCTCCATGGGGGTTCCTCAATCATCTCTACTCTGTCTTGGAAAGTGCTCCCAACTTTCTCTTGGGCTCAGCAAGAGGGGTAAGGAGTTTCCATGTCCTTTGATTTGAGGTCTATCTTTTTTCTTCTTCTTCCTCGGGATTGTGAAAATGAGAAATTCATTTCTAACCAAAGAATGAAAACTGGTCTTCCTGTCTAAATTAGGAAATTTCAGTACTCATTTTATTTTCCTAGAGGGAAAGCTGAGCTGTCAATAAGGATGGCTCTTCCTAAAAAAATAAAAATAAAAAAATAAATTTTGTCATATTTATATAGAATGCTGCAGTGAAATAACTAGGATAATGTTTGACCCTGAGAAGGTTCTTAATGAAGATTTGTTAATATAGGAATACTCTGCAGCTACTTTGAAATAACTATTAAATATTTTCCAAAGATTAAGTTTACTATCTAAAACTTGCTGGCATTAGCATAGATGTAGAAGTTTCTATCCAAACTGGTTGCAAGGCATTATGAGAAAGAAACTAGAATAGAAATAGAAATATTCTCTATTACTCCAGAACAACATTTCTACATCATCAATTACTTCATATGATTGCAACTCCTCTAGAATTACCAGGACACCCAGGGCTCCATGAAAACAAAAGCAACAGTGTGAAATATTGTGTCACTCCATTTGTTTAATAATTTGTTTTCCTATGAGTTGTAGCCTATGTGAGATCAGAGTCCAATAGAAAAGAGAACTGAACATTGAGATACCATGGACAAAAATCTTAGATGAATACTAATGAGAATTTTCTGAATACAGAACAGAGGACAAATAAGAGCTCTGACATCACAAAGGAGACAATAACTGTTAAACTTTGAAACTACTCTCAAGATATACCCCAGAGACTCTCAAAAATGTTGGACAAGCTACCTTGAGTGTGAACTCATGAAATTAGTATGCATTCCAATTTAACAGAATCAACTTTAAAAACCAAACAAGTTATGGCATGTATTTTGTATAGTGCTAAACTTAAAGTTGTTTCTCTTAAATTTCTAAATACACATCTAAGTGTCCTGGTGGCAGATTATAGTTGTTTAAACTTCTTGCTTAACAAGATCTGGTTCTAGGCCTGGTCTGCTCCACTTCACAGACCCAAATCCCTGTCAGCTGACCACTCATATCACAAGAGCATCCCACAAGCCAAGGAAGAAAGGGACACAATTGTGAACAAAACTGTTTTAGTAAGCTTTACATCACTGTTACCAAAATAACTGACAAGAATAACTTAGAAGGAAAAGATTGCTCCTCTGGGTTCAGGGTTCCAGAGATCTCAGTCCATGGATAGTCAACTTCATTGCACTGGGCTGGAGGTAAGGCAGAATAGCAAGGCAGAAGCGCATGGTGGAGGAAAGCTATTCAGCACATGGCATCTAGGAAGCGGAAAGAAAGTGAGGAGCCAGAGGCAAGATGTAATCCCAAATGGTGACCTACTCCTTCCAGCCATACCCCAATTGCCAGCAGTTACCACTCAGGAGTCCATTCAAATTATTAATCCATCAAATAGATTATCCACTAATGAGGTTACAGTTCTCATAATCTAATCATTTCACCTCTGAACATTCCTATAATAAGTGTTTGGGGGACTCCCCATATCCATAACAAAAGCTGTGTGCTATTTACCCATCAATCCAAAAGAAATCTAAGGGTCCTCCAGAGAGTGGGTTCTCCCCATAGATGAAAGAATGCATAATACCAAAATTTTCCCACTTGGAGGAGACACAAAATAATCATAAAGATGAAGATTAAGATCTCCCACCACTAGTAAACATTAGGGTAGGCACATCACAAGTAAGCCTCCCGTACAGACTGACCAATCATACATCCCCACCCCAGTCCAACCAGGAAGCCTCTTGGCAAGAATTCTCATGAAATTCACAGAACACAAAACGCCTGAGTGGAGAATCAGCTACGAAGGACACAGTCTTCAGAATGAAAGAGGCTGCCCAACCTAGTGCTGAGCAAGGTGGAAGACACATCTGTGTAATTCAGGACACCTAGGGTAAGTCACAGTATGCCCTCAGAGACTACAAGCAAGTTTACCTAAAAGGCAAATCGTTTTCTTCCCTTCACATCAATAACTCTGGAAGTTAAAGACAATACCTTCCTAGTGCTGAAGAGGAAATTATTTCATTCTAGAAATGTCTACTAAGCCAAACTATCAATGTAAAGAAATTTCACATTTTCAGTTGCTCAGCAACTGAGAAACTTTCCCTTGCCTATACCCTTTCTGATGTATTTGAGGAGAGATGTATTACCACGAAACTATAATACAATCCATGAAGAAAAAGGAAGAAAATCAAGAAAATTCAGGAGTTCAATAAAAAATTCCTGAGATGTATATGAAAGAAGCAAGAAGTTAGAATATCTAAACTCAAGGTTCAACATGGATGATAAAAAAGTTGGAAGATCTCTAAAACATTAGATAGGCTCTCCCAACATCAAGTTGGCCCTTATATAGAAAGGGGATGATTAAAAACCCCAGAAGAGTCAATAATAAATTATAAAATAAAGTCTAAGCAAAACTTTGAAATAAATTTAAATGAAGCATGATTCAAAGAAATTAATGGAATATAATAAATTCATTTAACATATATTTCAAGTGACAAAATATGATGACATAAGATTTTAATTTTATTGATCCATTCATATTACTTGATTCTGTATTAAATTTATTTACATAATCAAAACTTGATAAGCAGACTTTATTGCTAATTTTCAAAACCAACCAATATCAAATGCATGGAAAACATAACATCTGTGAGTGCAGCTCTGCTAAAACTTGAGGAAAAACAATGTTTTGGTTAATAGAAGGTCATAAATAAGAGAGCAAAGATGGAAGGATATATTTCAGTGCCCTTATTCCCTTTAATTAAGTAATGAAAAGTCCAGAGATTCTATTTACAAATAATAAATAAATCAGATGCATGTTATTTAAAAGCAACTTTTCTTATATTGCTTTTTTTTAATCTCTGGAATGCCTCTCCTATAATATTCATTGTGAAAACATATTTATTCCAAAACTCAACTCTTATGTTTCATTTTCCCATATCAACTCAAAAGTTAATTATTAATGTCTCTCTTCTACCCTCTGTTAAAACACCCTGTTAAATTATTCTATTATGTCATCCAGTACAGTCTAAAATTTGCGTTTCATATCTGGTATACATTTAACATTACCTAACATTCATTTTTGTAGAGCCCTTGTCTTATTTAACCCTGTATACCTAAGGGACAGTCACCATTTCTCCTGGGTCTCCCTAAATACCTTTAAATAACAAGTAAAATCTAAACCATAAATTGAGAGCAAAATAACTGTTGACTACACTCACAAAGGTAAGTACACTCACAGTTTAACCAAAATTGGTTGTTTTTATCATTAAAGTACCTGTACTATGAAGTGGGCCCCATTTTGAAGGAAGGCATCATTTCTTATTGGTAACTGTGTAGTAACTTGAGTTTTATGTTCTGGAAAAATGAGGCTGTTTTTCCTGGATGTATTTAAGATGCCGTCCTTCACTTGTAGGGGGTCTGTAACTCCGGCAGGAATGTAACGTGCAGAATAAAGCATCCTCACATCTCCTTTAGTTCCTCCAAATCTCGTAAAACTCAAGGATAAATGTCTTTCACCTGGACTGCTTTCAATCTTCTGATTTTCCATAGGAAAAAATGTTATTAAGCCATAAACATCATCACTATCCTGAATGTAAAACAAAAGCTGCAAATAAAGAAATAAAATATTAAAGTACAGAAAACTCACATCTGAGATGATCAAAATCTAAATAATCTAGGTTACTCTAATTTTTTTAATTTATATTTTGGTTGCATATGGACACAATATCTTTATTTATTTATTTATATGTGGTGGTTGAGGATCAAACCCAGTGCCTCACACATGTGAGGCAAGCGCTCAACCACTGAGCTACAACCCCAGGCCCTAGGCTACTCTAATTTTTAATATTTACTTATATACAATGTCTAAAATGACTCATTCTTATATGTCAGAGAGTAAAAGGTAAACCAAAACATATTTGAAAACTTTCCTAAATTATAAATTTTAAAAAATTCTAGGGTTAGAGGAATAGTTGAATGGTAGAGCACTAGCCTAACATACCCAAGGCCTTTCTGGCACTGGAAAAAAAAAAGTGAATTTTTCATGTGCAGAAGAGACAATGTTGATAAACAGGTAGGGAATCATATATCCGTAGTTCTTCCTGTCACACTGAACTAAACAGAAATTTGATTTGTCTAATCAAATTCCATGGCTCTTCTGCATCCCAGAAATACTGGCAAGAGTAAAGCATAAGAAGAGCTTTACCTCTGCTGGTTCGCTCACTTCAGCACCTCCTTGTACTGTATGAGGCAGAATTTTAAGTAGAAAAGCTTCAGCCTCTTCTGGGAGATCATCATTAACAATGGTAAAAGGAATTGAGGCCAACATCTGCCCTTGTGAAAAATGGAGAACCCCAGAACTTGGTCTGATATCTGCTGTCACCGGTGAGGGATCACTGCTGTTGCGTGTCAACACCCAGTTCACAGAAACATTCCCGTGGGTCCCGCCATTCCTAACCACTGTAATTTCTTCAAATCTAGAATTTTAAAAAGGAATATATTGTCACATCATACAATTTCCCTTAGATAGGTTCTCCCAACATCAAGTTGGCCCTTATATACTGTAGTGGTAAAAGCAGAGTCCGTCACAAACAATAATTAACCCTGTATACCTAAGGAATGAAGGAGTAGATATGTGGAGGTATCCTGGGAGATGACCATAATATGAGTTCATTTGCATAGTTAAATCATATTCAAAATACAAAGGAAACAGTGAAGCCATGCAGAGAAAACGACTCATACCCAACAATTCAATGTTGTATCCAACACCTCAAAAAATTAAATCTTATAAAAATATATTAATATAATTGTAGCAATAAATTTAAAGTAAATCATACCTTGACACTGTGTCTTCATCAATTATAACTGGCCTTTCAAACAAGATGCTGTTGAATGAGAGAACTCCATAAGGTTTGTCATTTGGCTTAATGGTAACCTGAACAATAGAAGGGCCTACTAGCACAGCATCTCCCTGTAAGGTGTCCTTTAGCAACATAATATGAAATGATTCAGCAATCTCTGGTATGGTGTCATCAACTATTTGGAATTTCAAGTGGAATTCATGAATTAAAGGTGGGAAAACAATAGTTGTGTTTGGCTGAAGATCAATGAAGTCTAAATTTTGCTGCGCATGTGCTGTTGAATTCCCAGTTTTAATTGTATATCTTATTGAAACTTCATATTCATCAGATCCAATCAGATTTCCATTGTTATCCTTTCCACAAACCACTGGAATTATGAGTACGTGGTCTTCCTCAGGCACCAAGTAAACACTCTGAATGAATCTCACGGGAGCATCATTTTTCTTGATGATAATCTCAACTGAATTCCTAGATGTGTTAATCTCAGCTCCTCCTTCTAAACTTGTCAGGTAAATAAAAAATATTTCATCATTTTCTGGTACCTGGAAAAGGAACATTAATAGTAGCAAAACATCAATAGTCAAAACATCAGCAAAGAAACCAAAGTATAAAAAGTCACTGTTTCAATACAATCAATCAGAAATTTTTAAAAAGTCTGTAACTGAAGGGAGCAAATAGTCTCCATTTATTAAACTATTTTCCAAAGGTAAATAGCCTGTTTCATATAGGAATGGAAAAGTTAGTAAGGCAATTGGTAAAGAGTTCATACTTAAGTATGATTGGCTGCTATTATGGGTTAGACCTGTAAAATCTTGGGCCCCGGTGCAGCAGGGTTCAGAGATGAGGCTTTTGGAAAGTGACTGTGAAGGCTCTGACCTCATCAATGGATTAATCCCTTGGAGTCACAGCTCAATGGGCTATCTGGAGTGGAAGAAACTGTAGAAGGTAGAACCTATGTAAAGGGAGTCAGGCCTCAGGGGGCATGTGTTGGGGAATGTATCTTGTCCCCAGTCCTTCCCCACCCCACCCCTGACTTCTCTCTCTGCTCTCTGGCTGCCACAAGGTAAGCAACTTTGTTCCTCCCATACCCTTTCCACCATGATGCTCTGCCTCACCACAGGTGTGAGCAATGGAGCCAGTCAACAGTGACTGAAACCTCTGAAACCATGACCCAAAAGAAATCTTTTCTCTTTTGAGATTTTTCTCTTAGGTATTTTGTCATAGCAATGAAAAAGCTAACACAAACACAATACACAAACTTTACAAAAGACACATTCTTATATTGTATTCTTAAATAATTTCAAATACTGAACACAAATTAACACTTGGCATAGGCTCTCTTATCACTCTTATTACACAGACAAGAGTCCTTCTCTCCTCTGAATGTTTAAAATTGTCCCACCTCATCATCAAGTACTGTCAAGTTATAGATTACTGTTGCTCTCCCCGGGGGAAAGGTGATGTTTCCTCTAACTGGACTCAAATCTTCTTCAGGGGAATTTGGGCCACCCTCTACCTGCAAAGAATTAGACAATGCCATCAAAAAACAAAATATTTCATAAGATTGAGAAAGCATTATTGTGATGTCAGTTAACAAAAATCTGAAATTTAAAGATGCTTATCAAGAATTACACAAACCTATGTATCTGCCCTTCTGGTGACCAATCAGGGTCTGCAATGTAATTACACACCTTCACTATAGTATATTAAATTATGTGTTTCCTAAGATCTTTTTTTTTTAACCACTCTATTAAACATTGTGGGAGAACTCTATAAATATTTCTTCTCAGGCAGAACGGTATTCACGATTATAAATTCCCTTAAGAAATGGAAGGAAACGTCCCACCACTGGCAGTGTGACTTTGGACAAATTATTTAATAACCCTGTGCAGCATTTTCCTCATCTTTAAAATGGACATAAAAATTTCCATTTCATAGGCTGGATATGAAGATGTAATAATCATTCATTTAAAAAAGTACTTATTGAGTACTCTGTGCCTGATCTGTTTGAGGCTAAGGATACAATAGTAGACAAAGCACGTGGACTTTACAGATAATGGGAGAGAACAAATGGTGAACAAATAGATGTGTGTTAGATGCTGAAAAATACTATAAAGAAGAACATGAAGATCTGAGGGAGACCGAGTGCTGGGGAGGACTGCTTTTAGATGCGGTGATAATCTGTGTAAGGTACTTAGAACAGCATATGGAAATATAAAATTGTTCCATAAATATTACCTGTAATTATTTAAACAAAACAAAAGGTTATGATCCAATCAAATAACTTTAGACATACATAGATAAGCTGAAAATACCATAACTTAGAGTTCATATCCTTTCTATGGCCAATTATTTTCTAATTTCCCCATATTTATTATTAGAAATAGTTTTTTTGAAATTATTATCTAAATGCATATTCCTAAGAACATGAAAAATTGCTTAAGGTTTCCCATGTAGAACTTGCAAGACTACTATATATTTAGTTGCTGTTTATGATGTTTTTCACATTGTCTTACTTATTTTACATTCTTATGTAAAATATGACTACCTTCTAATGTAGCCACACTTCAGTATAAATAAAAACTTTCTATGTTGCAATAGACTTGTGACCTATCAATCCAAGTATCTTCTGTATCTACAATTAATAATTAAGGTAGCAATTGGTACTCTAAGGTTTGAAAAAAGCATACTTGATCATATTTTATATATGATGAAACACAAAAATGAGCTGAAAATTTAAATGTGAACCTCGAAGAAGAGCAGTGTGGTGACAGGATGGTCATTAAGCAATAAACAATGGTTATAGCTAGCACTTAAGAAATGCATCTCATCCTCTGCCTATCTTATTCATGCCACATCTTGTAGCACCCATGATCCTACATGGTCAAGGCATCTGCTATTAATACCATCATTAAGTGTCTTGAGAAAAAATTGGGGGAAACTAGATACAAAATAATTTTCTACAAAACTCAGTAATCCACAGCTGTTTTTAAAATCTGTACTTGAAAATGTTCATCATAAAAAATCTATGAGGGCTGGGGTTGTGGCTTAGTGGCAGAGCGCTTGCCTAGTATGTGTGAGGCACTGGGTTCAACTTTCAGCACCATACATAAATAAATAAATTAATTAAATAAAGGTCCATCAATAACTTATATATACATATATATATATACACACACACACACATACACACACATATATATGTGTATGTGTATATGTATACACATATTTATACATACATATATATATAAGATTCTATGAAATTTACAGAAATAACATTATTCTTCTAGTTTGTGATTTATAACTCCATATTTAAAGTGATACATTTTATTCATGTAAACATTATATATATTTTATTTATACATTTTATTCACGTAAACATTAATATATATATATGCAACAAGGAAAGTATTTATATTAACCATGAAATGTATAAATAGCAAAAGTATTTACCTTTTTTCAGTGTTGTGTTTATTTTACAAAGGACCTTAATTTTGAAAATTATAATCATCTGGTATAAACTTTAAAGTGTTTTCACTGAAAGTATACCAAAGTAAACTTACCTCAAAAGTCACAGTGACCATTCCATAGGTTCCCTTTTCCCTAATGAGAATAAAAGGCACAGACTCATTTCTGCCCCTGGGCTCACTCACTGTGATTGATGAAGGCTATTGGGACAAGCAAAGACGATCCCACATTAATCAAACAGGAAAGCAAAGGTTAAAACTATTACTTTAGAAATGCTAACTTTGCACAGGCAAATCAATTCACATTGTATATTCTTATGACTATTACATTCCCAGCATCAATTAATTGTAGCTAATAAAAATGTTTAAAAAATTCAAAATAATATGTAAAGGGAACATAAAACTAGCCAAACAAAGATATAGGTTCTTGACCTGGTTCTACCAGTTGTCTGTTCTGCTAAAGAATCAAATGTTCTATAGTTGAAAGATGGTAAGTTAAAATGCTCACAGAGCCCAGGTCACAGAAGTGAATTAAACCTCCTCACCAAGATAGTAACTCCTTGGAAGCACCCCTGTACCTTACTCCCTGTCACACTTGCCTTATCATTGGTCAATTTGTGATTGAAAACCAGACAACCCCCAGTGACTTTCAGGACATGATTACCACCAGAACAGAAAGTGTAAGAACTTCAAATGTTGAAAGATGTCAGCTTGGTTGGCTGAAACTCAAGGAAGATGAGGAGGAAGGAGGATGCACCAAGAGCCCACGCTTGATATGGCAGCAGTGGCCACCTCTCAGAGTGGCACCAAGTTTCCATAACCCTAATCATTAAAGGGGCTAGGAATACCTGTGCCAAAGGGTTGTGATGATATTTCACTGAGATAATGTATTTTAAGCACTTATCCTTGTACCTGACACATGCTAAGGGATCAATAAATGTTGGCTATTGTCACCATCATCTGTATCATGTTTATTATCAATATAATCATCATCAAGGCTGGAAACTGAAGTCAGCCTATTGAGCTCCTATGCTGAGCTTAACAGTTACTTAGTTTAATTTGAAGAGCATGGGACTGAGTTGGAGCCTGTCAGAAGCTGCCTGGCATCACTGAGACCCCACCAGTCAAAGACCTGGGACCAATCTCAGAGATTAGGATCGATTTGTAGAAACTAATGGATATAATGCCAAAAAAAAAAAAAGAAAGGAAAGGAAAGGGGGGGAATGGAAACAACATTTAAATTAATTAGTATGAGATTGGGGTGATAACTTGGAGGGAATGTCCTGGAGATAAAGCAATAGAGAGAAATTAAGCAATTAACGAAGTCTGCGCCATAATAATTTCCCTTAATTCAAACTAAAATGAGTAATTCAATGAATGTTATTAATGCAAGTTACCAAATATCTACTAAATTAGGTTACGCTAATATCTTTTCTAATGAAGATAAGGCAACTCTAAAGATCATATTTATCTATATAGCCCACCTGTTTCAAAGATAAGGAACTAAGAAAAGGACATAATGCTACCATTTGTAGTAGTGATCTAGATTGGAAAATGAATAAGAGTCTGGGATCATATTTTAATCATATTTTATTAATGATGCTAAGCAACAGAACTCAAAAACACTCTCAGGAAAGTTGTTGGAGCCTAAAACTTAGCAGCTAAATATAATTGTACTGGAAACAATATCCTGTTTTATTTCAAGTGCTAGAAAAAAAATTTCTCAAGGACAGACCTTCCTTATGTGCTTGTTTCTAAAAATAAAACCCTCTGAACATGGGATTGTCCATAAGCTCAGGACTTTGGTATTGAGGGGAAGAAAATAAATTGCAGAGCAAAACTGAGGGAAATGAGATGGATCTTTAGCCTACATCATGAATTAACAGGAAAATTTTCGGGTGGGGATTGACTATAGAATTTTGAAGAGCTGTAATGTCTACTATTCAGTTTTAAGATCACTGAAGGTTTTATCAGTATTCTTTCAGTAGACAATGCTTTCTTTAAGGGGAATTGGAGCAAAAGGTACCTGGGTATACATATGAGTTAGAGAGCAGCCAACAGAGGTAACAAATGAGACAAGTAGAAAGATATGCAGAAAGACATTATAAGTGGTGAGCATGATACTAGAAACCTTCTCAGTTCGCAAATATCTCAGGTAGAACAAATGCAAGGTCTACATAATGTGGGATAGAGACAGAGGTAATGCTGAGTTTTATTCAAATATCAAAGAATAGGATGATGTTATCTAATATCATGAAAAACTACTACCTAGCAACCATTAGAATCATCAAATTATAACATACCATATTGAATGAAATAATTCCAAATGCATTGTCATTTGATAATATCGTCACAGTAACAGTTCTTGGCCACCCAAGCTTCACATTCAATAAAGGTTTCTAAAATAAACGTCCAAGAATAGAATAATAAATTAAAACATTCAGTAGAATTTGTCTCTAATTAATTATGTAGAATATGAATAAAAATACAAATATGCTTTTAATAAGTAGATTAAGAAAACATATTCGAATAAAGACAACCTGATAAAAAGGTCCCAAATGAGATCATTTTCAAAAACTTTTTAAAAACTATTAATCACTATTAACAATAGTATAATTAAAGTAATCACTGCCTAGTAATGTTATATTACAAATTTTTATAAATTACTATAAAGCCATTCACTAATATAGTGGAATTAACTACGCAATATGAAATTCTATTTAAACATGATTTGTTTTCTTACACTATATAAGGGGCTGAAACTTAAGAATTAGTTGTTATATAAATCATAAAGCCAAAATAAGGTAAAAGGTGGCTCATGCCTGTAATCCCAGCAGCTCAGGAGGCTGAGGCAGGAGGATTGCAAATTTAAAGCCAGCCCGATCATCTTAGCAAGGCACGAAGCAACCTAGTGAGAACTTGTCTCAAAATAAAAAAAGCTAGGGACGTGGTTCAGTGGTTAAGAACCTCTGAATTCAATCTTCAGTACCAAATAATAAAAAATAGTTTAAAAATTAAGATAAAATATTGAAGCATTTTTTCTTATAAAACCAGAGTTTTCTGAAACGTTTCTATTGATATTCAATGGCAACATAAAAGAATACGAAAGAAAGAATGACTCACAAAAGCAAAACACACCTATTTCAAGTGTCATTTTCACAACTCTGAAACAATGACTCTAAAACTAATAACTAACTAATAAACTAATAACTCTAAAATTATTCTTTCAAAATTCTCAGAAAAATTAACTAGACTGATTGAAGTTAGCAGTCACTGCCTCAACCCAACAGATCAAGTCATAAATTTCAATTAAATCTTAAGCTATTCAAGTTCCCCCCCAAAGGGGTACTCTGAATTTATTCTAAGGCAAAAGGACTTCCACGATTGCTTTTTGTATTCTTCTCTTTTGAACTCACAAGTCATGCTCATTCTTTATTCATCTGATAGTTGGGGAGGAAAAAAAGAAAAGGGTAAAAGGGAAAACAAGGTTGCTGGAGCATCTGTCAAGGCAATGCCTCAGTAAGCTGAATGGATCCAGACACTAGCTGGAGGATCTTCTAAACATTTTGTCTGAGGAGTAACCAAAATAGGGGATTGCCAGAGACACTGTGGTCCTGGCTTCTATGAAAACCACTACCACCTGGTCAGCTTACCTCTAGATAAATAGATTTTTAAGTGCTGCAAGATTTTTATGAGCTTAAGGTTAAAAGGGAAAGAATGACTTACCTGCAATGTTAAGTGAAAAATAAAAGTTTCATCAGGCTCCGGTAAATCATCATCACATACTGCTATGTACACTGTTCTATTTGTTTCCCCCACAGGTATAAAAGCTGCAGCATATGTGTCAAAAAAGTCACCAGTGTCTTCTCCATACAGCTATGAAATGCAAAACATAAGTCATTCATACTTAACAGTTAGGACAAGCAAAACTGATGCTTTGTCAAGAGACAAAGCATAAATCAAATGGTGCTGACATTTATAGTAGGATGTACAAAACTATGAAACATAAATATTTAAAAAATAGTAAAAATCTTCAGAAAAAAGATAATAATAACAATAATAAACAATTCTATATAAAAAACATTTCTTTGTGTTGTGGAAGAAAAAGAAATAACTACATAGAAAATTAACAATTACATAGGAAAGTAATGCTGTGAATTTTTTTTCTCTGCCTCTAGATTGACCTGAAGTGGGCTACACCAAACCTAATAAGAAGTGGAATTGTAGGTAAAATTCACAAAGAGATGGAAGTGAACTGCTAAAAACTGCAGGGAATTCAGTTCTTTTCCCAATCAGTTTCAAAGAAACTGTTGTTTTCAAACTTTCAGCCTGAAGTTGAATTTATATTATCCACAGCAACTCCAATAAAGATCCAATCTGAAATTTCTTGGTCCCTACAAATTTTCCTTAAATTTTTAAGATCTTAAATTCTGTAAAATCAGCATTGCTAATAAGATTCTAGGGGAATAATAATTACAAAATTATAAAAGAGCAATTCATTACCAAATCCAATGAAATTTCTTTCATCAAAGAGGAAATAAAATGAGGAAAAAAATATGACTTCATAAAAATAAAAATGAAGAACGTGTATAGAAAAATTGTAGTCAATTTCTAGTTCTAATTTATAAAAAATAAAGTAAGTTTTAAATATTTGATGAATCAAAATAGTTGTCAAGGGATATTGTAAAACTTGTGCTCAAATCTTACTAGAGAAAAATGACACGGTATCGGTGTTATCAAGAGCCAGTGGCAAAAAAATATAGTTATCCAACCTATGAAAATCACTTAATAATTCACAATACGGAGAAATATTCATATCAGGGAAACCTAGAAGCAACCTCAATGAAAAACAGTTAAGGAATGATCAGGATGCAATGACACTGTCACGAAAAGTGAAAATAGGGCTGGGGCTGTGGCACAGTGGTAGAGTGTTTGCCTAGTATATGTGAGGCACTGGGCTCAATCCTCAGCACCACATAAAATAAATAAATAAAATAAAGGCATGCTGTCCATCTACAACTATTAAAAAAGAAAAGAAAAGAAGAAAGATTGGGAGCAATAATGGGGAAAGCTCCCTGTGAGATTAAAAAAAAAAAAGAAGAAGAAAAGAAAAGTGAAAATAAAGGAACAACCAGATAATTATTAGGTTACTATCAAGATTATATTTAAAAGATTATCAAATATCATGTGTACTTGAACTAAGAATAAACTCAGTAAGTATATACATATATGTCATATATAAATGAAAACTAAAAGCAATGTACAAAATTACAACATTGAGTAGATTTCATAAGTAGTTTTTCTTCTTCTGTTTTTGCAATGATTCATAATATGACAATTTAACCTACTGTTTAAAAGTTTGCCTTTGCAAACAAAATTTTCTAGTACTTTGTGCCTTATATATACCAATACCCTTAATGGTCCTATGACATTACTTTTTGATTAAACACATATACAGATGACACACACAATCCATCCAAAAATTGAACTGTGCAGAGGTAGATCAAGAGTTTAAAAAATTCTAATAAACTTTATTTAAATTAATAAGTTTAGTTTCCCCCACAAGAAGAAATCTCTAACAGAATTTGGTGTTTTTTAATTGTAACCATTCTCATTTACATATTTCATGTATTTTCTCTAAGCCATCCTGCAATAGACAATACGTCTAATCAGGGATGCTAGGATTCAAATTATACAAAATAAAATGCTCTTGTTTTAAAATAAAGACACAAACACTTTAAAATCATCCGTCTTTATCTTGAAAATGCTATTGTCAAATGCACATGGCTACATTGGAGAACTCTATGGGCCTATAAGAGACATGAGTAGAAGAGTATTATCTGCAAATCATTTATCATAAATAGACTAATACTCAAAATCTCATAGTAAGGGGAGGGAGGACGGGGGGAAAAAAGGAAAGGAAAAGTGAGGAATCACAAACTGAAATCAAATTTCATGCATGTACAAGTTTGTCAGGATGAACCCAACTACTCTGTGTAAGTATAAAGCTCTAAATTAAAAAAGCATAACCCTCCCTCCAAAAAAAACTCATAGAAAAAAATTATTTCATTACAACTAGAAATTTCATATCTATTTCAATAAGAATAGAACTATAATAATTTCTCACCGATACAATTGCAGTAACATTTTCTGGCTCTCCTATCCTTTCAATGACAAGACGAATAACTGTAGTACTTGTTTCATTAACAACAAATTCTGTTTGCCCAGCAAACCTTATTTCTGTTTCTCCAAATACAAAAGAGATGAATAAAGCTGAAAGAAGGTTTACTAATGAAGATGCAGAGGGCATCCCTATAGGAATAAAGAAAAAAGATTAGTCACATAACATAATATATTATCATTATATTTTGTATCTATAGATAAAAACATATAATGAAGAGTTCATCAACAACTAAGATATAAATACATCAAACATTAACCAATCCAACTTGAACTTTTGATGCTGGAGTAAGTTAAAAATTTCACTCTCTTCTTATGGTTCTCCTTTTACTATTTGTAATCAATTTTTTTTCTATGCCATGATGGTATTTATAAGGTAAACTTTATTTAATTTCTTACAAAACTTATTGGCACAATTTAGTCTCAGAAAAACCTAAGCAGGGACAGAAAATTAATTAAAGTCCATCTTTTTTCAGATAAAACTGGAAAAATACCTGCCAACACTAACACAGTTGAAGCTGAAGGTTTACCTATATATAAATTGATTTCTTGGTTGATGTCTACTTGTTTGTTAATTTATCTTGAATTTTTTTAATTTAGTTATTGCTAGGAACTGTTAATCCTTCAAAGAAGACCTAAATTTCCAAGACTTAAATTCTATTTTATTAATTAAAATGTCAATACTACTTCTTAGAAAAATCCATATTGCTTTAAATAAGCAAATTTGGTAAAGTGTCTATTTCCTTCTTTTCCATAATGCCTATTGCTTTCCTCTTACTACAATATATGCATTTATGAGTCATCAATATTGTTCCTACTTTCAGCTCTGTTTTCAAAAGCACAACACTGCAGTGGCCTATTGAAAGAAATGCTGTTTTGTAATGTAGATGTACCTCTAAAATGTGAGCAATTTATCTCACGGATCATTAAGATTCCAATGGATCTATGTGATCAGTCACTCGAACATAACGAGTCCATGCATTTTAAAGGAGCATTGCTTTATGTATGCTATGAGCCAAAATGCCTCCCATTGATCTTTATCATGCCCAAGAGGTAATAAAATGCTCACACATGTGGTATTTCCATCTGGCCACACATGGCTTTTTATTTAGGAATCACCAAATACACAAATTCTTGATATATTCTAGGGTTCAGATGCAATTTGCTCAGTGAAGTATATTCAAGGGATGCAGGGTATGATGGCTTAGTGATGTCTCACAGGCTCCCAGTGGCAACCTCCATAGACAGAGATTCAGAGTGCATATGGAGTCCAAGAAAAGGACATAGGCCAACAGGGACAGAGATTCTGGAGGACCAGGACATGTTTTTACAGTTGTTCCTTCTCTCCAAGCAAACCTGTCATTAGGCTAAAGGACTCGGAAGAACTAAAACAGATCTTTTTCAACAGCTGACTTCACCATTCTTTCCTGACTTCTAATCCAGGAACCTTAGTGGAAAGAAAATAGAGGAAAAAATAGGAGAAAAGGAAGGGGAAAAAAGCAAAGCATAAGTGAGAAATGCTTTCCCATGTTTGTTATAGGTAGGAGCAGCTCTGAGCTAAACCAAAGTCAAGGAGGGAAAATCTTGATTCCAAAGCCAGAATGATTTCGTATCCCACTTATGACGGGTAGTACGAAATAAATGTCTTAGGATGATGGAAAGAATACAGAATAGAGGGATGAGACGGTAACTATTTAGGCCCTTGGTTGTAAAAGAGAAAGATTGACTTTATTCGACTGTGATTTTGAAAGAAAATTCTCAAAGCCTGGCATAGGAGGTATAATAGAACTTGATAGAATTAAGAAGACATCTGAAGTTTACATGAGATTATAGCAGAAGAAGAGGGAATCACAAACAACTGAGAATTGTGCTCAAAATTTGTTCTGCATAAGAATCAACTAGGCATTTTTGAAAATCCCAATTCCTACTATCAGAAATTCTGATCCAGTTGTTCTAGTTTGAGGCCATTTAGTCTTTTTTAAAAAAATTTTTTATTTGTTCTTTCTAGTTATACATGACAGTAGAATGCATTTAGACATATTATACACAAATGGATTATAACTTCTCATTCTTGTGATTGTATATGATGTGGAGTTACATTGGTCATGTATTCATATATGAACTTAGGAAAGTAAAGTCCAATTCATTTTAGTGTCTTCCCTATTCCCATCCTACTCCCTTCCCTTCATTCTCCTTTGTCTGATCCAAAGCACTTATATTCTCCCCCCTCTTTTTATAAGTTAGCATCCATATATTTGAGAGAACATTTAGCCTTTGGTTTTTGGAAATTGGCTTATTTCACTTAACATGATAGTCTCCAGATGCATCCATTTACCAGCAAATGCCATAATTTCATTCTTCATTATGGCTGAGTTCTATTCCATTGTTTATATATACAACATTTTCTTTATCCATTCATCTGTTGAAGGGCACCTAGGTTGACTCCATTGATTAGCCATTGTGAATTGAGCTGCTGGGAACATTGATGTGGCTGCATCACTATAGTATGCTGATTTTAAGTCCTTTGGGTTTGTTTATAATAACATCCTATTCATTCTGATGCAACTAATCCTTGGGATATACTTGGAAAAACACTGTCTGTCATAACTAATATAAGGGATAATATGAGGAATATGTCTTCAAGTGGACATATGAAAGGCCCCAGTCTAATAATTCTTCAATAGTAGAGATGTGAACTTACTACAAAGTTCCTCATGTGTTTCTCTACTTATTCTAAAATTGCATTTTATGATTCCATACACCCTAAAGAAACATTGTAATGACCTATAGAGAGTAATAACGACAACAAATACTTACATAGTGCTGTTTGGGTATTTATACACACATTAATGCATTTAATCCCTTCATATCTCTGTGAAGGTTATAGTATCATTAATATCTTTTTATAGTGTGAAAACTAAGTCTTGTAGTCCCAGCAGCTAGGGAGGCTAAGGCCAGGGGATTGTGAATTCAAAGCCAGCATTAGCAATTTAGTTAGGCCCTAAGCAACTTAGCAAGACACTGTCTCTAAATAAAATATAAAAAGGGCTGCTGGGGATGTGGCTCAGTGGTTAAGCACCCTTCAGTTCAATCCCAGTACAAAAAAAAAAAAAAGAAAGAAAATTAAGGCACAGACAGGTTAGTTAACATGTCTTGTCATTCAGTTAAGCTAAGTGGCTAGGCAAGATTTGAATCCTAGAGTCCACTGCTAGACCCTTTACCCAGAAACTTGCCTCTTACATTGCCTCTTACATTTTAGTCCTAGAAATCACATATCTCCATCTTGAATAATCTGGTAAAGTATTTATACTACATTTTCCCAAGCATTCAAATACTTGAAACTAATGCAAAATAACCAAACTGCCACAAAATTCATAATTATGAGACTTCTAAAAGTGTGCACCTTATTATTCTGATAAATGTTACATGTATTTAAATGACACTACTATTCTCTTGACTATTTTAAATATTTAACAGCATCTTTTATTGTCAGGACCAGTGAACTCAAAAGCTGCATTCTTACAATTTCCCAGGCAATTAGAGCTTTAAGATCTTGTGTTTAGGTCAGTTAAATTCATTTTAAATTGGTTCACATCAATAAGCTTGAAACTATGCAAAATGAACAAACAAGCATGATTGGAAATGACTCAAACGGTGTGACATCATTGATAATTGCAACTCCTTGGCTTTCATCTTTTCACACTGCAAGAAAGGATGTTGGGGCAAAGTTGGCATTCAACAGAAATTAAAAGATGAAAAAAAAGCTTTGAAAATGACGTTTCCATTAGAAGACAGGGGTAATTACACAAAAGCTGAACAGTTCTTTTTTAGAGTAACTAAGTACATTTTCCTCTGTCATACTAAAAAATTTAGTGTTTAGAACTTCCTTTATGTTTTATTAAACTCAGAAAATTAGGCATAAGTAATTGGCACCATTAGTAATATTACTAACATCACAGGTCACTTTTTCTCTTATTAGATTTAATAAAAAAATTTACATGCCACATCAGACCACTTATTTTAAATTTTTTTGTAAAATGAATTTCAAACATATGTTTGAAGATCATAATGTGCGTAATTCATTCTGTCACAATCGTGAAAGAATAACTTCAGCATCAATGACATTCTTCCTCTTCTCTCTACTGGCATGCTACTTCAGTCCTCATAACCTCTCATTTCTAACTACCATCTATGTTCTCACACCTCCCACTCTTGTTGGGTATGATTCAGAGGAAGTTAAAACTGTTCCTGCAAATCAATGTCTCATCCCTTCATAGATCTCTTACTGTGTTAAGTAGAAAACTTGTTAGGTCACTTTCTTCTTTCCTATTTTCTGAATTATACTATAAAGTTTGGATTGTCTTGATAACACACAGGTACAGAGTTCTTGAGTTCTAATAATCATATTCACTCTACCAACAAGTCACCTAATTCTGTAAGCAAAGAAAATTTCAGAATTAAAACCTGGAATACATTAGAGTAGCTCTTAAAATATAAATTGATTATTTTCAGAGAGCAATTTACAGCTTAGCATAAGAACTGTGTATTGAGTTCCTACTGCACATTTTAGCACACTGTGCTAATTGCTGAGGACACAAGAATACTTAAGATATAGTCCTTGCCCCCCAAAAAACTCACAGGAATATGTAAATGATTCAGATGGTGGTAATAAAATCAAGAAGACAGAATTCTGAGACTTTTGCTTAAACACAGGGATGTAGATTATCTGTACCTCAAGGGTTTGGGATTGTGATGATTGGAGTCAGTTTCTCCCACGAACTAGAAATGAAACCAATAGCTGAAGAATGAATTGAGAGGTGGAAAGCTTAAGTTTCTGAATCCACTTTTACTCTTGATTTTCCAGTTACTGAGACAACAATGAATCACACTTTTGTTCTATGGGTTTGGGTTGGACTTTCTGTCTCCTTCAGTGTCAATCTCCAACCTGTGACGCTGTGAACCAGTGTTAAGATGTGCCACATGGAAGGTCCCCCGGTCCACTCTAGCATGCAGCAGCATTAGTTCTGTGCACCTGTGTTCTGTGCTCTGCTCATGCAATTTTCACTACCATCTGTACTCAAAGCACGTATTCTCCCCTCCACCTCAAAACTGGGAATGGCTAGTTAAA